CCCGCCCCTCGCCCCGCAGACGCCACTTCCTACGCCCACTTCTTGTTCGACGCCTTCGACGCCGACCACAACGGCACTCTGTGCTTCCAGGTGGGAATTCCTGGCCTGATTCATCCCATCCTCCTCCTCCTCCTCCCGGGCTGTGGCCGGACTGTCCCTCGCGGTGCCGGGGGGCACTGCAGCGTTAGGGGGGGGGTGGTTAAAAATAACGGGATCAATAGGGAACAAATCCCTCGGGCACCCCGGGATCGATGCGGCAGCAGGAGGGGGGGCTGAGCGGTGTGAGGAGGGGGGGGTGGTCCCTCCCTGCTCACACCCACGGCAGGATTTCGCCGTGGGGCTCTCGGTGCTGCTGCGGGGGACGGAGCAGCAGAAGCTGAAGTGGGCGTTCGACCTCTACGACGTGAATAAGGACGGCTACGTCACCAAGGAGGTGACACTGGGGGACGCCGGGGGGGCTGGCGGGGCGGGGGACACCCAGAGAGGGACGAGCCGGTGCTCTGTGTGCCCCCAGGACATGCTGGAGATCATCAAGTCCATCTATGCCATGATGGGGCCCTGCACAGAGCCCACCCTGCGGGCCAGCGCCCCAGCCCAGCACATGGAGCTGTTCTTCCAGGTGACACCTCTGTCCCCTCTGTCCCCTCCCGGGGACACCTCCCGGGGACACCTCCCGGGGACACCCACCCTTCTGCGGGCGGGACGGCCCCGCTCAGCCCCGGCCGCTCCCCTGCAGAAGATGGACAGGAACGGGGACGGCGTGGTGACCTTCGAGGAGTTCCTACAGACCTGCCAGGAGGTGGGGGGACCCCGGGGGGGGCTGGGGGGCACTGCCACCCTCCTCCTCCTCCATCCTGCCAGGCCTCGGAGTCCGAGACATCCCCCTTGCTCCCTGTTCTGTCCCAGAGCGATGTGCGGGGGGGCAGGAGGGGTGGGGACAAGGGGGTGACCCCGGGAGGGGGGACAGGAGGAGAGAGACAAGGAAGGGAATGGCAGGACGGGGGGACAGGAGGGCGGCTGGGAGAGGAGTCGGAGGGAGGGACAGGAGGAGTGTGATGGGAAATGTGGGATGGGGGGTATTGGGTGGTGGGGAGAGGGGACAGGATTGGGGGGCAAGGAGGGGGGAGACAGAGGGGCAGGATGGGAGGGACAGGAGGGGGATGGGAGGGGTGGACATGAGTGTGGGGACAGGAGGAGGGGTACACGGGGATCTCTGTCCTCTCCCCCCCAGGACAAGGACATCATGAGCTCCATGCAGATCTTCCACAACGTGCTCTAGACCCTGGGAACTCCTGGAGACAGGAGGGGACAAGGACAACGCTGCCACCAGAGCCCCCAACATGGCACTGGCACCTGCAAGATGGACCCATTTTGGGGGGCTGAGCCCCCCTCGACAAGGACCCCCCGCCCTGGGTGGCACAGGGACCTGGCATGGGGCAAACAGGACCCCGACACCAGGGCCCCCCAGGGTGGGGACCCCTGGGACATGGGGACCCCCTGAGAGGGGACTCCCTGGGATGTGGGGACCCCTCAGAGACGGGATCTCTTGGAGATGGGACCCCCCAGGACGTGGGGACTGTCTGAGTGGGGGTGTCCAGGCATGAAGTGGAGCCCCCAAACACTAACCAAAAGCACACAGACCCTCCTCCTCCTCATCACTCAGGTGACCCCCACGGGGCCACAGCCCCCCCACCCTCCTCAGCACGTGGAGAGGGGGTTGTTTTATAAATAAACCAGAGAGTGACGATCTGGGGGGAAACGGAGTTAAGTGGGATGTGACAGCCGTGCTGTGTCCCTGCCCCAGTTCCCGCCCCTGTCTCCGTCCAATCCCAGTCCCTGCCACCATCCCTGTCCCCATTCCTGTCCTGGCCTCGATCCCTGTCCCCGTCCCCATCCCTGTCCCGTCCCTGTCCCTGTCCCTGACCCTATCCCTGCCCTGGCCCTGACCCTCATCCAGCCCCTGGTTCTTTCCGTCCCTGACTCAGTCCCCATTCCAGTCTCCATCCCAGTCCCAGTCCCTCTCTTAGTCACTGTCCCAGTCCCTATTCCAGTTGCTGTCCCGGTCCCAAACCAGTCCCTGTCCCAGTCCCCGTTCCTGTCCCAGTCACTATAATGGTCCCACAGTCGCAGTCCCATTCCCATTCCCCGTCCCTTTCCCAATACATTTCCAAACCCGATCCCAGTGCCCCTCCCCCTCCTCCTCCCCCGCCCCGCCCCCTCCGCCCTCCCCGCTCATTGGTCCTCATTGGGAGTGGCTCCGCCCACCCCGCGCTCCCATTGGACGGCCCGAAGGGGGCGTGGCATCAACCCGGCGACCTTCAGAAGCTCGGGGGGCGGAGCCGGTCTGCAGCGCCCCCTGGTGGAGCGGGGAACAACGTGTGTGAGACCCCCGGGAATGGGGGATCCCTGGGAATGGGGGGTGTTCCTGGGAACGGGGGGATCCCTGGGAATGGGGGATCCCTGGGAACGGGGGGTGTTCCTGGGAACGGGGGGATCCCTAGGAATGGGGGGTGTTCCTAGGAACGGGGGGTGTTCCTGGGAACGGAGGGGGAACCTGGGAACGGGGGAGGGGAATCATTGGGAACGGGAAGGATCGTTGGGAATGGGGAGACTCCTGGGAACGGGGCGAGGGGGAGGCGAATCATGATATCGGGGGGAATTGTGCGGGACTGCGGGGCAGGGGTCCCTGGGATCGGGGCTCAGGGGGGCGATCTCTGGCATCGGGGGGATTCCCGAGATCGGGGCTATGTGGGATAAGGGGAAAGTCCCCTGCGATCGGGGGTGGGCGGAACTGGGGGTGGATCCCGGGGATTTACCAGGGATCGGCCGGCCGGGGGTGGGGGAGGTGGATTCTGGTCTGGGGGTGTGCAGGGTCAGGGGGACCCCTGGGATCGGCTGGGCGGGGTGATACCCTCAGGGATCGGAGCAGGGCGGGACCAGGAGGGGCTGCCCTGGAATCGGGGGGATTTTGGGGATCAGAAGCGCGTGGGAGCGGCGGGAGGGGCCCATCCCGGGCCGGGGGGGTCCGCAGCCCGCGGGTCCCCCCGGCGCGGTGCCGACCCCGGTGTCGCAGGGGATGCGCGGAGCCCTGCGGCTGGTGCGGTTCCGGGGAGCCGCGGGCGGGGGGCCCCGGCTCGGCCTGGAGGAGGCGCCCGGGGGGGACCTGGTGGACCTGAGCGCGGCCGAGCCGGCGCTGCCGCAGTCCATGCGGGAATTCCTGGAGCTCGGCCCGCGGGGGCTGGAGCTCGCCCACAGGTGGGTACCCCAAAAGGGGGGACCCCCAAAGGTGGGGGATCCCTGAAGGTTAGTGGTTCAAAACCTGGGTCCCCCCAGGGATGGATCTCCCCAGTGGTGGGTGACCCCAGGAAAGGGTTCTCCAAAAGGAGAGTGACTCCCAAAAATGAGGGTCCCCAAGGGTGGGTGATCCCCAAAGGAGGGTCCACCAAAATCCAGGTGACCCTTTGGCTGAGCCCCAAAAGTCTGCGACCCCCAAACTGGGTTTCCCCCAAAGGTTCCCCCACCCTCAGAGGTGGGTGCTCCAAAATGTGACCCTTTGAATGACCCCCAGTAGGTCCCCTGAGTCCAGAGCCCCAAAACACAGCTGATCCCAAAGACAGGTGTCCCTGGCTGCCCCAAAAGGTGGGTGTCCCCAAGGTCTGCGTGTCCCCACAGGGCGCTGGAGTCGGGGCAGCACCGGGTGCCCCGTGGGGCCACGCGGCTGCTGGCGCCCGTGGGGGACCCCGAGAAGCTGATCTGTGTGGGGCTCAACTACCGTGACCACTGCCAGGAGCAGGGCCTGAAGGTGCCCAAGGAGCCCATCATCTTCAGCAAGTTCCCCAGTGCCATCACCGGGCCCTTCGATGACATCGTGCTCCCCCAGGACAGCACTGTGGGTACCCCGGGAC